AAAAGAGTTGTTTTTTCTTCTTCGATGGAAGGACCTTCTTGAGTTCACGACATGATCCATGGTAACGGAACCAATAACATTTTCTATTTGCCGCACTGAAGGGGCAGTAAAAGCCATTGTGATTTTCTAAATGACCCATAACACCCTAAACCGTCGAACTTAGTACAATAGAACTATGATGCTGCAGTAATGAAGAGTACTAATTAATGATTAATAAGGAAAGTTTCATTCATCAACAAATGCACCAAAATTCTCGGTCTGGATTCGGTTAAAATCTCGTCAAGCAAACGAATAAATCTGATCGAAGTCGGGAATATACAAAATATTTTCATATTAGTAAAGGTATTTCATCAGGGTTCTACATAACAAACGCCAGAGGGCATATAGGCGTCAACGAAGCAAGTGTAGTTAACGCCTACTAGGATGGTTAGAAGAGTAAAAGATGATCGAGATGCGAATTGGACTCCAACTCCCTCAAACTCAACATTATGGTGTTATGTGCAAGATGCCCCGCTGACACAGATGAACTTAGCTGATATAATATAGCTGCGTACAGATAGCAGAACAGCGGTTCTGGGACTCCATAGACTACTACTAGAGAACTAGGATTAGGTCAATTAAAGGACATGTCCGAGAGAGCTACCGGAGTCAACTTTATAGGTCTTCTGTAGAGAGGAGAGAAGAGGAGATGAGAAGAGCTAGGATGAAAAAGAAAACTGTTGGCTAGCTATTATGCTATCCAGGAAAAAGCAACTACGTATCTAAATAGGTATTCTTAAAGGTCATTAGATACTTAATAAGTACCAATTCACACTGGATTTGAGTAGTACCCATGACATGAGCGGCATGCTTAGCGAATCATATCCATACGTGGAGTTACTAGGATTGGTGTAAAGCCGGAGGAAGCACAATAGGCCTGTGGAGGCCAAAATACTGTAGTGAATACTATCCTCCTCCACTTACAGCGCAGAAAAACTCACTAATTTTGCTGGGTGTCTGATTAATAAAAATGTGTTCGAGAATCCTTTCTTCAGAAGAACTTCTGTAAAATGCAAAATTTCAAGACATACATTTTTACAATTTGTCACATTTAGATGAAGATGCTATATTTTGGCTATCTAAATAAATATATATTTAAAGTTTTGCACACTCATGGTTCACATTGTGGTTCATATTTTTTGAAATACTCCATTGAATTACTATTTACAAAGCTTCTGGATTTCTTCTGCGTCGGTTGTTGATGAATCTAACTTGCGGTAAGTTCGATTCATCAACAAACGACGCATGGTCAATGTTCGATATTTTGCTTCGCGTTTGATATATCGAAAAAAAATATTAAAAAAACTTATATTTCAACCACACATACAATTTTATGACAAAATTTTATTCGATGAACTATTGTGCCGCGAAAAGCAATAATTTGACAGCTGTGGATTCATTAATGTCAATGATTCTACCAGAAAATTCGATAAAGTCTACAGATTCCAGTAGTGACATTTCACCAAACATTTTAAAAATGTTTCATCAGATTCTACTGCAAACAATGCTTCGCCCTGTAAATTTCATTTTGAATAAATGTTCTTTTCGATCTATTAAAAAAAACTACTATAATTAATGTCCATAAAGTTGGAGAAAAGATTCTTATGTCTGTTCTTAAAATTAACAAATTAACCGGAAAATCTGTATTGCATTGAGTTCTATTTAAATCTAAATAATCGCATTGTTTGGTGATGTTGCACGTAGTAGCAGAGAAGTTGCTGTAAAGTTTAACAAGAAACATCCGCAACGTGCTCCCATTATGCATGGAAAAGCAGCCGCCATAAATGTTCTTTTCAATGAAACTGGCAGTGTTATTAAAATCCATCACAATTGCCAACCTCGGCAAATACACCCACATCCCGAGGACTGGTATTCATCATTTCATCTGCATATTAGTTAAAATTAAATCAGAAGCTGTTTCATCAGTCACAAAATAAAACCCAATAAACCAAAGTTCTTAGATACATTAAAAGAAAATGATGAGAATATATACGTTAGGTGTAAGAACAGTCCTGCAATGGTGAATTGGGCCTTTATGTCTAAATATCTTCTTCTTCTTCCAGTGCGTATCCACTAATGAATGTTTGCAATAACATTATCTATTGATTCTCTATTCCTTGCGGTGTGTATTAATGACATCGTGTAGCCCTGTCCACTGTCTGATCTTTCGTAGCCAAAACATTTTTTTTAAATTTTTTATTAAATGTATATTTACTTAATTCAACAAAGACGTTTATATTATTATTGTTGTTATTATTATTATTATATTAACTTAGTAACGGAGTAGATATTTCTTTTCTTAAAATGTGGGCACTTCCCGTTATTGCAGTTCACTGAAGCTGTATGATGTTATGTTTTCCGTCGATTGTGTAAAGGTGTCTTTCAAAATTGTTTGTGAGTGTTCCAGTTGCGCCAATTACGATGGGGACAATTTGGGTTTTAATATTCCACATTCTGCGTATTTCGATGGCTAGTCTGTATTTAAGTAATTTTTCTACGTAATGTTAAGTAATATTGATACGTCAAGCATCATATATAAGTTGTTACGTCTATCTTTAATAACAATATCCGGTTTGTTTGCTGTTATTTGCCTATCTGTTTGAGTTTGTTGATTCCACAGTATTGTAACATCTTCCTTGCTTGTGCCCTGCTCGGCTCTGTGATCATACCAATTTCTGATGGTGTTGATATCAAAATTTTGGCATATTTTGAAGTGCAACAGTTTAGCCATATTATTATGTTTCTTTATATACTCATTTTTCGGTAGTATAGGACAGCCAGATTCACTGTTTCATCGTAGATATTGCATAATCGACACTTTGAGTCTACAGCCTTCTTTAGAATATTTCTTGAGTAATATCGAGTATTAATGGCTTGATCTTGTACCCCGACTATTAGGCTTTCTGCAGTTAGTTTAGTTATCGATTTTATCTTAGGCAGTTCTTCGCCACATACTCATAGTAGATATTTGTCTATTGTTCTTCTGATTAGATATTCTTATAAGTCGAGTATAGCCTATTTGCAACAGATCTCGGCCCCCTTGCTTCCTCGATACATATAATCTGTGTATGTCGGCTCTTGGGTGTTGCATTCCGTACATATTAAGAAGTTTTCTGGTTCCTCTATCTAGAGTTCGTATTTCCTCTAATCTAAAGTCAATAATTCCCAAACTGAATTGAAGAGCGGGTTGTCGCTAAATCTTGAGGTTATCCTCTAGCTCTGCTTCGTTTTTCCCAATGACCACTCAGATCGTCCATATATAATAGGGGATCTATTTTATGCCCTCCATAACAAAACCCGCTTTCAGTTCGTTAAGCTCATTGGAAAGTGGTATAAGAGCGGTGATAAGGAATCTCCTTGAAATATGCCCTATATATATATATATATACGTATATATACGTATGCTAGGTACCATTATGGTTTCAAGGGAGGTGTTTAAGTAAACGTTTGTGTTCCAGCTCTTCATCATGATCCTGCATGTTGCTACTAATATGGGAGGCACTCCGATACACTCCAAGCTTTTCAAAATCCAGATTGCGTTTCCTTTGTTTACATTCTTCCAGGATATACTTTGGCAGTAATAATTGGTCCTTGCAACCTTTAGATTCTCTGCAATAGCCTTTTTGTGTTCGTATCCAATTATTATCGTTATTGTTATTGGCCCAGAGGTCAAAGAAGATTATGTTCTATACCAATGGGATACTATCATCCCAAAATTGTACATACTGGGCTGGAGATAATCCTAACTGGGTTAACATTGTAAAGATCAATAGTCCCAGAACGTCAATTTCTGGGGTGTTATTTTGGGATACCAAATAATAGTACTTATACACGCATACACAAGTATACTTTTCCTGGTATAGGTCAAGCGTTCGCCCGGGCTGTCAAGTCATGTGCCGAGATCTAAATAAATTACAATCTTTTTCACTGAATCACTCACTATTTTTAAATCCTAAGAAATGTTGTATTATGCTTTTTGACAGAAAACATGATCTGGACGGTTTGGAGGCTCAAGTTACAATCAACATTGGGGACACTACTCTACCTATGAAGAATAACGTAAAAAACCTGGGAGTCTTCTTTGATTCTGACTTAAGAATTGAGAGTCACGTCTCAATCATGTGATATTGTTCAATCACAGTGATATTTTATATGGAAACTGTTTAACAGCTTTGCAAAAACAAAGAATACAAAAAGTGCAGAATTCATGTTTGCGACCAATATACGGTATTAGACGCCGAGAGAGAATATCACATAAACTAGTAGAGACTAAAGCCTGTTTTTATCACAAAGTTCTAAACTACAAAAGCCCTCAATATATGTACAGAAAGATTGTATAATTGTATAATAGTTTTCCTAATAACTTCAAAGCCCCGACTACAAGTAGATTTAAATTTTATGCTTTCAGATATTTTTTCGAAAGGTAAAGTTTAATAAAAAATTCTATCTTTAACAAACATGAGCAAACTACATTACTTTAATAAGTGTGAGAAGAAGTAATTTTTTTTCTGTTATTGTGCATCGCTGTCGACATAAAAAAAGAATACTAATGTTATCCATATCTGGATTTCGCCCATTTCTGTGTAAGTTTTTGTTTAGTCAAACGTTTCGCCAATCATCCTGCTGGTTTCTTCAGAGCTTGACTGAAACTATCACGCATTTTACTCTGTACCTGCTTATATATTGTTTGAGGAGGGCGGAGCTAAATGAGGAGCATAAACACAGTTTCGGGTGACTGATTCCAGTATTGGTGACAGGTAAAGATCTCACTCGCGGTTAAGATTGTTAGTTGCTTATAGATTTCTATTTTAGTTTTATCGAATACAATTTTATGTCCGGTTTCGCGATTGTGTTCGGCAACTGCTGATGGCTGGTGGTTGATTTGGAATTGGACGTGGCAGAGAAACTCCCTCAGTTATTAAATCAAACATGCTAAATAGACAAATAAAAAAAAACGCTATTTTATTCTCTACAAGGTAACAGACGCCGAGCCGAGCTAGACTTGGGTATTCTTCAGCAAACTCTGCAATTTAAAATTCGCCTCTACCGCCGACAGGTCCTTGACGTTCGCGGTCAAGTTGTTGTTGCTCGAAAACACGTCGTCGTCGCCTTCTATGAAACCGGAATCCGTCGCTCTCTCCTCGAGGAAACTCATGCAGCTGCTCACGTAGTTCCTGCAAATCTTCTGCTGCTCGGAGGCGTACTCGTCGGTCGACTCCAACCGATTCACCTCGACCAAGTACTTGTTGAGCGCGTTCCTGATCTTGTTGTACTGCTTGCCGTGCTTTTTACCGACGAACTGGCTGATCTCCAACTCGATTTGCTGCAGGTCTTCGACGATCTCGTTGATTTTGATCATGATTTGTTGCGGGGTCAGTTCTGCGGCGACGGTATCATCGTAAAACTTCGTGATCCTGTTCGTGTGAGCGGTAAGTTCTTTCAACATCGCTCCCGGCATTACCGGCACCCCTACTTTCAATATGGACTTTCTTTTTTCCTCTGGACTTCGCACGTTGGCTGGTTTGGGCGCGTTAGGGACATCTGCGAGAGAAAATTAAGTCGATTATGATTGAACGCTGAACGACGATCTTACTTTGGCGACCCTCGTAATATAGAACACACCTTCGTCCGGAACGACCTTGACGAATTTAAGTTCGACGGTTTTCCTCTTTTCCTGGCTGTTTTCCAGGCGTTCTTCTTCCGCCTCAGCGGCGTCCGGTTGGTCCTGCTGAATTTCCGAGCTATTTTCCTCCGGAACCGTCTCCAGGTGAGCGTTCTCTTCTTTGCCTTTCTGCTTCTTCTCGATCTTCTCGGTGTTCTCCTGGAGTTTCTGCTCGAGCGCTTCTTGCGCCTCGCAGATCCTCTTGTAGACGTTTTCGTAGAGATTTCTCACTTGAGGCTGCAAGTCTTGACCTCTGCGCGTCAGTTCGTTCTTCAGGTACTCAATTTCGTTGTGCAGCGCTATGTAGTTGGCGTCTCGAGCGGCGCCCTTGAATTTCTTGATGTCCTTGTAGACGTTGTCGATTTTGGGCTTCATGTTGTGGATGGTGCGTCTTTGGGAACGTCTAGCGACTGTGTTGCGCCTTTCGAGCGGCGATTTTGACGAGACCCCGCCCATTTCCTCTGTGTCAAATCTGCAAAAGTTCATTTTTAAAAACAAATGTCCTGTATAGACAGGTTGGGTATTGGGTATTAACGCTAACGCAATTTGAAGTAATATTTCTTACGCAGTTAGAGTAACCAACCAATTTTCTTTTAAAATATTAGCAATCACTTATCAAAAATTGGCAGACACAGATTATCCAAAAATTTTGAATAGAAAATACGAAATATTACATAACTCGAAAAGTTTCGCTAATAAGGTGTGAATTATTAGGTGTGTGAGTATTGTGAGATTTGAAAAAGTCATTTTCAAGACAAATATTTTCATATTCATAGTTTAAATTAACAAGTGTAAATTGAATTATATCAAAAATGACATCTTGTACAGGACGTTTCCCCGTAATTTTTTAAATATTTTTCTTCATATTAACATTATACATAGTTTGTCCAAGATAAGGATGCCTATTATGGGGATATTGGCGGGGACAGGTTTTGGTATAACTTCTAATTTTTGTTTTTAGCAATAGTATAGTATTTCTTGAGAAGAAAATATATTACAGGTACACCTGTACTAAATATATTATTGTATTATTGATATTAGATTTTTTTTTAAAAAAACTTTCTTTATTATTTGCATTTTTGGTCGCCGTATTTTCTTAACGCTAGTTTATAACCGCTTGTGGTTATTCTAAAGTCCGGAAAATGACAATGATGCATTAGCCCATTGTAAAGCTAAAGGAAACACAAATCTTTTTGCAGCCATCAAACATATCGAACATAAATAATTATTGCGCAAATAAACTCGCAGTATAAACCCTCTCATATAAATGTGTGTTTTGTGGTTTAAATTCCGATGTCCCGTCATAACATTCGACATTAACTTTAGGTTTTGATATGGTCGTTGCATATACGATATACTACGCAATATGATTCCACATTGTTTAAAAGGGGTTTTAAATTTTTTTCAATATTTTGGTGTAGTGTAGGTGTTGACATGATAGCATGGTCAAAACAATTTTAATGACGTATTGGTACATGCCGTTTTTTAACGTTGCTGTTGCGTCTTTTTGCTGTTAGATTTTTTTGTTATACCAGATGAAACGTACTTTTTCATCTCGATCAACATTTCATCAAATTAAACAGAAACAAACAATGCAATGAAGAAAAAGTAAATAATGTATATTGTTAGCTGTAACTGAAAATTCGAAAATATCTGTTGTGAAAATAGAACATATAAGTGGAATCGTGAAATCTACTGCTTATTTCATTTTGAGAAAAGAAGCATTTCACCCAAATTTAGGACTCGTCAAGCGCTCAGACCTGGTGATGAGGAAAAGCGAAGAACATTTTGCGAAGGGTATACTAGGAAGTATTAGTAAGATTAAAACTTTCCCCCCAAGATTAATTGAATGCACGAAAGTATGGTAACAAATAATGGAATTTAGAACAGGCGAAATACTCATGCTAAGCGTTATCGCAACCTGCTTGAGCATGACTTTGAAGAGGCTTAGAACAACTTACCGCTTGGAAAAGTTAGAAATTTGGTTTCAACACCACGGAAAAATGGATTGGTACAGTACGGCAGTTTCGTGACCCCGCGTTCGCCGGACCTCACTCCATTAGATTTTTTTGAGAGTGAGAGTTACAAAGTGCTATGTTTGGTCACTTGTTTGAACATTTTTTATAATTTAACTTTTTTTGTAGCTAGTTTTTTTTAAGTAGTTTGTTTCAAAAAGTAATATGTGACGTGATCTACCAATGTAGAAACGTATTGTGTTGTACATCGTTGTATCAGTAATAAAAAAATGGTATTTAATACATGGTGTAATTTTTTTCACGGACCATGAAAAAATATATTTGATGATAATACTTAAAATACTTACTTAAAATTTTGAATTTGGTAGACCTCAAAAAGTGGTAACAAGAAAATCATATATTTTTGCGTCTCTTTAAATAACACCAGAAAAAAATAAAAATGAAATTGTCAAATTTCCGTTTTTTGCAGTATCTTTGGAACTGATGGAATATTTTGATTTTTTCTATCAACACGCCAGTAACGTTCAAATTTTGCAACTGTTATCTAATTAAATGCAATATCCTCCTTACGTCAGACACACTTTATAAAAGTTCTGTAAAAATGCCAATATTTATATACCATAGTAGAGTCCGCCGAACGATGTACCATTTTTACGATATAATCCGTTATTTAATTTTGGTAAATTTTTATGGTCTAAGAGCATAACTTCGCAATTCCACAATTTAGGTTCCAGAACCGCGGTACTTCGTGCATGCGAATACTGAAAGCTGACGGATTTATGTAGACTTTCATGGGTGAGATTCTTCGATTATTATTAGTCTTATACTTTAAAATGCTTATTATAAATATAAATGAAGGAGTAAATTTAGCAATAAAACAATGTTATAATATTTATTAAAAAAAGAGTTATTTTGTATCAAAATAATCGCAATCGTCGTAATATTAAACCCTTAAATTGGAAATCAGTTTAAGTTTTCTAGTGTGTAATTGGCAAATTCAACTTGAAATCGAGCTACCTCAATTAGTGCCTAATTGAATTAATGTAATAGTTTAACCAAAAAGAATTTGCCTACTCTTAAAATACAACAATCCGCACGGCACGGTCGGCTAACATTTTAAATACGGCCCTGGCTTGGGATACACGTGCTGAAAGCTTCCGCTTTAGAACAGGCGGGTCTTAAACTCATTCCGAAGTCAAAACTATAAAGGGTTGTAAAAACGGTATATTGTTGTGAAAAGCATACCGTCTATTACATCACTCAGCCGTCTAGTTGTAATAAATGAAATTTTTAATTCCATATTTCGCTTCTTACGGATTTAAGTGAGTGTTTGAAAAATTTGAAAAATAAATAAATAATTAATAATAATTATTTTCATGAAAAATTAAATTATTTTGATAAATGCCGAATTCAAAAGCTCCAAAACTCGTGTCTGAAGTTTATTTTCGGGATTCGAAAGCTCGACAGAATTAATAACACACGCCAAAGAGGTATTTGGCTAAATAAAGAAAATATTTCAATTCTGCATGCAAAAATATTAAGGTAGAACATCTACTCTCTTTAACAAAATGAGCTATCGCTGTGACGTACACAATCTTAATGAACGATTTAACTGAGATTTTTAAACACTCCTTTCAGCTTCATACGTTTTAAAACTAAAATTTTTAGGTAACTGTGTGCTAAATAAATTGATGTATTGTTTTCTTTGATTCTCTCTTGAGCACTGTACTATATTTTTGTTTGATATAATTGACGGTTTATACGAGGGCAGCGCCAAAATTTCCCGGCCTGAATATGAAAGGAACAAAGTAGAGTAACAATTTTTTATTATTTTTTAATATAATCAAATGAGCTAAATGCAAAATGAGCTAAAACAGCCTCTTTTAACTCAACTTCGTCGTTAAACCGCGGTCCGCGTAAGTCCTTTTTTAAATATCCAAACAAATAATAGTCGCTGGGGGTAATATCTGGGCTATAGGGAGGACAGGTGCATTATCATGCAAAAGACGCACGCCTCTGGTCAGTTTTCCTTGACGTTTTACACGTATGCAGTCTCGCAATTTATGTAATTATGTTGCGTAATATTTACCATTGACAGTATCATTAGTTTCTTTAAAATCTATCAAAAGAATTCCTTCACAATCCCAAAAGATCGTGACCATCACGTTTTTTGTTGACTAGCATACTCTGAATTTTCTTGGAGGTGCTTCACCCTTACGACGCCACTTTATTGATTCCTTTTTCGATAGAGGGTCATAATAGAGAACCATAGTTTCATCTCCCGGTACAATAGTTTCTATCACAGGCTTTGGTTCCGATCCACAGAATTCCAAAAAAGACCGCGCACACTCGACACTGTTTTTGAATAGCCGAAAGGTTTTTAGGAACTCATCTTGCACTAACCTTATGCATTAATGATTATGCAGGATTCGACGAACACTTGTATCAGAAAGCTTAGTAATTTCTGAGATTTCCTTGACTTTTAAACGTCGATCACTCAATACCACCTCTTCCACAATAGCAACAATATCTTCCGTTATGACCTCCACTGGTCGACTACTTCTTGAATCATCTTCAAGGGACTCCTGCCCCACTCGAAAATCTTTTGCCCATTCTTTCACTACAGGATACGAAGGAGAACTTTGGCCGTTTACATCATCCAGCTCTTCTTTAATAATTTTAGGTGCTAACCCTTTTGTCAAAAACTTTATGACTGCTCTATACTCAATTTGCATTATTTGCGACATTTTTTCGGACACGTCTTGTTTAAAATGCTGTCAATAAAAAACTATTTGACGCAAGACTTCAATTTTTTTTTCGCATCCTACTAAGATATATATTTAAAAAAAAAATTATCGCAATACTGGAGCTGCAACCTATGTGGGGCCAGGAAATTTTGGCGCTAACCTCGTAAAATGAACATTTATGTACTTCTTTTTTCCCCCCTCAGGTTAGATAGAACATGATACTTCTTTTAATTCTAATAATCTAATAATTTAAATAATAATAATTTTATTATTATTAAATTAAATATATTATCATTATTATTATTATTATTATTATTATTATTATTATTATTATTATTATTACATACATAGGATTGAGTAGGATTAAGATAAAAGTAATATTAGTATTATTACGATAGGTTCAAAGTGACGTTATTGATACGAACGTTTATAGAAATGTTGCTGGTGTTGTTTATGCAATGGCACGCTTGCAGTGTTGTTCGACACATTTTTCCGTTTCCGCGAGGGCAGACCTGAGAAAGTTGCAAACGGATATGATGTGTTGTCGATCTAAGAACGACCCTTTGTACTTACAGTCCGAGTGACGTCACTTTAAACTTACCGGAAATATACTGTACCAAAAGTGAATCATCTCGGAAGCCACGTAATAGCATGATTCCGATCCGAATGACCTCGAGTAAGCAAAACTATCTAACAACATAATTCTTGCCTGAACGTTCGTTTAGTTATTCTCAAAGAAGCGAAAAAATTAAAAGTTTAAAACGGGCTTGCCCTCGCTTTAATCTCACTGCGGCCAAACTTTTCCAATATAATACGTCTGGGGCGTACGTTCTTTACGAGACTTAACCGGTTCAATTTCAACTACGACTTAATCAACCGAAAAAGCCTCGGCGTAGCCAAAGTTCCGAAACAAAATCCATCCTCATTCGATGGTTGTTTTTGTCGTTTGCTTACGCAAAGGCCCGCCCTCGTTATCCCGCGGCTCACCTTTGAATCTAAAGCGGACGCGCGATGCTCAACATCCACCACAGTCTCTGTCACGATATTATATGCTCGTTAAATGACAAAATTCGACTAGTCGGCATTAATTAAAACCCGATTAATTTGTGTGCGACGTACTCGAAACAACTAACGGCGGGCGCTCAGAGGCTGCACACAACCAGATAACGACGGTGATAACGGCGATAAAGAACATTGACTAATTAACAAATACACCTAGCGTGCGTGACTGGTTAAAATCCTATTCTGTGCACTGCTCGTTTCGCAGTGTGGAGATTAGTTTATCTGCGGTAATGGAGGTCACCCGGTGAATGAATAAACATGTCAAACACAACCTTTTATTTCTTAAAGCTACAAATAAATAAATGAGAGTGGGCTAGTACCATCCTCAAGACGGCATCCGCTTATACTGAAACAAAGAAAACGTGAACAGCCGGCAACGCAGCAACCCGGATTTGATACTCACTATGACATCCACGATCCTAGGCTTTACGTTATTGACAGCGTGATTGTCTTCGCTTCTATTAAGCTCACGGCCATTCCCAACATTCCCACTTGCCACTTTGTCGTCGTCTACTTCTCCTCTACCTGTTAGCGCAACTTCAAGATCACTCTCGTCCTGCACTTGCAGATCAACGGAGCACAACCGTTCATCAACGTCTTCGACTATAGAATCCAAATCGTATCTCCTTTGGTTGTTTTCCAAGAACGCTTCCACCGTGGACGACACAAACTTCTTCCTTCTTCTAGAGTCCGAGTTGGTCCTCTTTGGTACCGGCTTCTTTACTTCCTCGACCTTCTGTTCCTCGCCGGCCCTACAATCGAGGTACTTCTCCCACGCTTCGAGGGTGCCTATCGACACTTCGGACGCCACCCGACGTTTCTCTCGTTTGACGTTGGTGAAGATCGCCTCCTCCGACTTGGATTTGGAAAAAGCGTTAACTTGCCTCTGCACGTACGAGTACCTCTTGAGTTCGTCTTGAGTGAAGTGGTGCTCGTCGCTCAGCCACCGTATTTTCTCTTCGTGGAACAGCACGAGCCTGACGTGCTTTAAGATCTCCTCCAGCGACGACATGATCTCCTTGTAGTGGTAGTCTTTGGCTTTTTCCAGAGACAGTTTCACCTCCGTCATTGTCTGGCTGGTAATCAAATTGGTTAGGTCGTTGAGCGCCGTTTTGGTCTCTTCTCCGATCTTCTCCGTGCACTGCTGCAGTATGAGGCACAAGTCCTTGAGGGTAGCCATGCCGCTTAGTACTTGGTGACGATATGTTAAAAATAAATCCCAACTTTCGCGTACGCAAAGCTAGTTGGTCGTCGCCAACAGATAACTCGTTATCACGCATTCAAAATCCGTTAGATTACGGAGAAAAACAAACAAATAAATTTTGCGTTAACGCGACAGGGACGGGTTTCCGATGACTGACAAAATATGTCAGAGAAACGGAACGTCGACAGCAGCGAATTTCTGTGGAGCGAGCTGACCGACGACACCCCTACCGATTCCGAAGCGAGCGTGGCCACGCTGGCGGACCAAAATGGCGAAAAATATTACGAGAAAGAAATGGCGGATAGGATTCTGCTAATCAAAGCGGGAGCCGACGAAATGAAAACCGAGCTTATGGCGATAGACTCGGAGAAAGCGAGGAACGATTTCAAGAAGTACGAGGAGTATTTCCTGGCAAAGACCATCGAATTGGACGAAATGGACGCGAAAGGGTCCGAGTATTTAAAGGAACTACGTAAAGACGCGATTCTATTTTTGCAAGAATGCTTGAAATACTTGGACGCGATGGTGTCTACGACGGAAAATACAAAGACGTAAAAATGTGCGTTTATATATATTTTTAATAAAAAATCAAACATAAGTTCCCTCAATCGTGAACGATGGATGCACTTTCAGTCTCCTTGTTCTGAATGTTCTCCTCCAGCTTCTCATCTAACTCGCGAAACAGCTGGAAGATATACTCGTACACCCCCAGCCTCTGCAGACTTTCGTCTATGTAATAGTACTCGGTGCTATCCTTCAGCTGTTCAAACTCTACGATTTTCTTTCGGAAAGGCTCGGCTTTCTTCAAAATCACTGTCAACTGGTTTTCCGTGTGACGCTCTGATTTAGTCGGTGAGTAGCCATCAAAGACTTCGCCAATTTGTTTTTCTGCCGCCGCGTCCACGATTTGGATTTCGCTCTCAACAGTGTCTTGTGTCTCCTCGTTCGGTCTTTTCTGACCTCTCTCGGTAGTGCCTTCAGGTATTGACTGGTGACCAAAAGGCTGGGTAAAATCATCTATAACGTTTTGAAGCACAGGTTGAGTAAAATCCTTCTCTATACTCCCAATTTGTTTAGATATATGGAGTATGAGATGAGCAGGACTCACCTCTATTATTTTTTGATGGGCAGTAATGTTTTCATCTTGTTCGGATCGCTCAACTATTCTTTTTGGTTGACTGTCAGCACTGCAGCGAGTGCTATGTGGCCCTGGTTGAGTGATATGCTTCCCTCTACTCTCATTTTTTATAGGTAATGTTAGGTTGACATGATCAACATTAGTTTTTATTGTTATATTTGGGGCAGCAATGTTTTTATCTTGTTCGTTTCGCTCAACTATCCCTTCTGGTTGACTGTCAGCACTGCAGCGAGTGTTATGTGGCCATGGTTGAGTAATATCCTTCCCTTGACTCTCATTTTTTATAGGTAATGTTAGGTTGACATGATCAACATTAGTTTTTATTGTTATTTTTTGGGCAGCAATGTTTTTATCTTGGTGGTTTCGCTCAACTATCCCTTCTGGTTGACTGTCAGCACTGCAGCGAGTGCTATGTGGCCCTGGTTGGGTAATATCCTTCCCCCTACTCTCATTTGTTATAGGTAATGTTAGGTTGACATGATCGACACTAAGTTTTATTGTTTTTTTGTGGGCAGCAATGTTTTTATCTTGTTTGGGTTGCTCAACTATCTCTTTTGGTTGACTGTCAGCACTGCAACCAGTGCTATGTGACCCAGGTTGAGTAATATCCTTCCCTCTACTCTCATTTTTTATAGGTAATGTTAGGTTGACATGATCAACACTAGTTTTTATTGTTATTTTTTGGGCAGCAATGTTTTTATCTTGTTTGGGTTGCTCAACTATCTCTTTTGGTTGACTGTCAGCACTGCAGCCATTGCTATGTGACCCAGGTTGAGTAATATCCTTCCCTCTACTCTCATTTGTTTTAGGTAACGTTAGGTTGAGATGATTACTACTAACATTTATTGTTTTTTGGTGGGCAGCTATGTTTTTATGTTGTTCGGGTCGCTCAACTATTCTTTTTGGTTGACTGTCAGGAATGTAGTTCCCCATATTCACGTTTGCTTCTGGAGCTCGCTGTATATCATAGTTACTGTTAACATATGTTGCTTTGTCACTCAAGAATTCACCAGTGATAGAATTTTCGGCTGTGAGCGGATCGACACGATGCAAAACAATCACAGCTCTTTGGGGTAACTTATTTGATTCCTTGAAGTCAATGTCAGGTGCCACGGAGGTGGAACCAGCTCCTAGTTGATTTTCCACTCTTCTACTGGTAGAAGAGCCATTGTCATATTTCATCTCGTTATCAACGGGGTGCGCAAAGTCTCTGTTTGCCATCACGTCCACGCGAGTGGCGGTAGACTTGGAAAAAACTCCGCGAGAACTCAACGTTGCAAATTCAGCAGGTTCTACAGAAGTCGACGTCTCTTTTTGAGGGGCCTCTACCACCGATGATCTCTTCAGTTGTTGAATATTAACCACTGTTCGTTTCACTAGCATAGCACGTTCCGACGGGGTGATGGGTACCGGTCGAGTTGAAAGACACACCTCGTTTGCGCTCTGGGTTGCCTGTCTTGCAGTTCGCTCCACTTGTTCTGGGTGAGATTTTGCACTTCTTGTCGCATTGTTGGGCAACATATCGGAGCGAGCGTCTTTAGATATATGAAAAGATGTTTCTACAAACCCTGAAGTCTTATTTCGAGTTGGTTCCTGCTTTCGTTTGATTAGCGTGGCACCTTCCGAAGCAACTCCGATTGACGATTTGGAAGGAAGAGACTCACGCGTTTTTTTGCTGTTGTCAGTTTGGCGTCGTGTGGTGTCCGCCGGGTGGCGACGTGAAGGTTTTGCGTCTTCATTTCTTGCCGTCACCGGTTGGTATCTTTCTCTGGCGGGTCTGCTATCAATAAGATCTGAAACTTTGGATCCCTTTAAAGGCAAGGGGGGCAAGAATGAGTTACACACTTACCTGTACCGAAACAGCTACCCATTCTGTGCATCAGTGTCTTGAAAATACCTGCAATAGCAGCCATCACCAATCGATATTACGAGACCAATCTACTTACAAAAAAGTACCAGGATCACAAAAGCACTGCAGCATATGATGAACAGATTTTCGATCATTATTTCGCAGTTGAAACCGCCCTTGGAGTCTGTATAATGGTTAGCTTTTCTATCTAATCGGCGTTGCAAACTCTTATCTACAATAAGTTTTTCCCCGACACCGCATAAACGCTCTCACAGGACCGGTGCCAGTGAAAATCGCTTACTTACAAATTTCCAACTTGATAGAAAATTTACGAAAGGGTACAAGGGAAATACACGTGAAAGACCAATAGTTTTAATTTGGGAAACTATTTAAAGTCTTTATGAAATCCTTATTTGATGAGCAAGTATTTAGTCGAGCTATTTGATCGAGGAGGCTCTATGTGCTCACAGATATCCTCAAATCTTGTAATCTTGTAAGCCTTTCTTACACAGGGTGTTATGAAATTAGACATCAATATTTTAACAACGTATTCTGTGACCCAAAATAAGAATAAAAGTAGACAATCAAATAAGAAAATATTTACACAAAATCGCCATCGAAGTCTTACTTCCAGTAATACAGGATCATTTTGGATCATATTATTTGACATCCATATATATATATATATATATATATATATATATATATATATATATATATATATATATATATATATATATATATATATATATATATATATATATATATATATATATATATATATTCATCCGAGTGTTCGAAGTGTTTTCGGAGCGCGAGCATTGAAGATTCCAAGTGAGATTTTGGCGAAACGTCTGAAAGTTATTTTCTTAAAAGAAGAACATTTTCGACCACCGTTTCTAGAGCTCGAATTTTATGAGCAACTTACTGGTTCATATGAAAATTGGTATGTTTTGGTTCGAATGGCGGTTGTTAAAACTAACGTAAATGAAATTGTAAAAAACTTTTCCAAGCAATTTTTCATGCAGAATACGAAAATGTCAGAATTTTTGGCACAGAGCGTTTTATTTCCGAATTACTAATATAGAATTTTCCTATGGAACATCTTATATATTTTTAAATACTTAAAAAGGAATTAAAAATGCGGTTTGGACGATGTCTATTAATTAATTTTGTTATTGTTATATATGTTTTAAAATTGCATAAAAATTATCATGTAAAGTATTTCATTTTCAAATTTTATCCTCGCTTCGGTAATATGAAGTTTTCTTTCAAAATTTTGAAGCAACTGTCAGTAAATAAGTTTATTTGATAAAGTTAACGTTTTTTATATTACTTCATATTAAAAAAAATGTTTTAACGTAATGAAAAATATGATACGATTTAATGTTATGATGCGAAGAGCAAACCTTATTCAATATGTCTGCCTTAAAAAACCGAAGACGTATTAGAAAGGATCAGAAAATTATTGGAACTAACAATTCTGAGATTGTATTTGCATAATCTCTACATTTACCTGTAATAGCCATTGTTGGTCAGACGAGATAGGATAAGATATATAAAAATATAGATTCACGGCTTCATACTCCTTTGGAACTCTTTAGGTCCAGTTGAAGAGGTGGATCTGACTCCATTCATTCTGTTGCATATTTTTCCGTTAATATTCCTTCTCTTCTCTCTTGACTGCTCTTCTCAAGTCATTCCTCAACTTCCTCCAACCATGTTCTGGATCTTCCCCTCCTCCTTTTCACACCTGGGTTCCACTGTTACATAGTAAATATTGTTGTCGCCTCTCCTATTCTCCACACATGCCTCGATTACTTTACTCCTATTTCTTCTATCCTTGTCATTTAGTTCTCCCAGTACCTCATTACTGGTTCTTATCATTTTCGTCTACCTTCACAGCCCCAAGTACAGTTCTCAAGATTTTCCTTTCACCCACTTTTATTTTTTCTTCATCTCTTCACGTCATTGTCATAGTGTCTGCTGCATACAATAAAGTTGCTCTTATTATACCTTTGTAAATATTAATCTTTGAAGTTTTTGAATAAATCTTATTATTTTATTTAGCAGGTTTTCATTTTCATGAAGGGCTCCGCTGGTTAACGCTATTTTTTCCTCAATTTCAATGTATCTTTTTCGTATACTAGTTATCATTACTTCTAAGCACTTAAATCGGCTTACTGCCTCAAAGCTGTTATTTCCTATTTTGATCACTGCATTATCAGTTCTTCCTCCATAGATCATTATTTTCGTTTTCTTTCCTTCTCTTTGTAATCGATCGATATCGTCTGCAAACGCTATTATTTGACAATCTCTTGTTCTAATTTTTGGGCCGGTTATCAACTCTTTTGTTTATAGAGTCGTAAAACTATCTCAATCCGAGTCACTGAACCCATAATTAAAATAGCTTACATTTGCTTTTCTCTCCAGTAATTTCCAAATAAAGGACATTAAAATTTCTATCAAAAAGTACACTTCACCACAACCTTCCAAGGAGAATGCCCCCTTACATTCCAAATATGATATATCAAAAGTTCTTAATAAATATAACGTTAAAACCAGATTTACCACTTGTCCAGAAATCTCTCAACAACACGAAGCTGGACTCTAAATTGCATTCGATAAAACTAAAATTCTTGCATGTAATTTTTAATTTAATTTTCAATTAATGCCCAAAGGGATAAAATCAGGGTTTTCTCGATTTAGATATTGCAAAATGATATTAAGTCTTTCACTTATCACTTCTAAACGTTCAGGGCTATTATAATAAATTTTATTTTTTAAATATCCCCACAAAAAGTGTCACAAGAATTCAGGTCGGGGCTGTTGGTAGGCCATTTGATAGTTTCTTGCCTGCCTATCCAAAGCTTATATTTGTTATTTAGATAATCGATAACCAATTGGATATTATGTGAAGGTGTGCCCTCTTGATGCCAAAAAAAATTTAAATAATTCTATAACAACTGTTCTATTTCTGTTGCAAGATCATTGGCCATTCAAGGATCCTTCGTATATAATTGGTCCGACCGCCATATTGTTTAAAATAGCACACCATACGTCCGTGCTTGGATTTTTACTGCCTGCATTTTGTGTGGATTATTGGTAGACCAAGCATGCTGTTGTGAACGAAGCCTCATCCGTAAATATTATGTTGTTAAGAAAATTTCCATCTTCTTGAGATCTTCTATACATTTCAATACAAAATTGGAGCCTATATCTTTTATATTCATCCTGGAACATTCAGGATTTTTCTAAAAATTATGAAATATAAAAATTAAGAAAGTAAAACTGAAGGTTATGATGTCAAGTGTCTTAAAGTAAAGCACTATATTGAGGTCTTCATCAAAAGTTATTTCTATTGTCCTGGTCTTCCTTGTGACACTAGTCTGGTCCTCAAATTGTTTAATTCCTTTTTTAATTGTATTTATTTTCATCCTCAGTGTAACCCGTAACCCATTTCAAACATCTTAAGTTATTCAACTTACGCTGCAGATCTGCAAACATTGTAATAACAATTGCAAACATAGACAATATGGTTGCCATCAAGGCCAGCTTGACCATTTTTAAACAATTTGCCTATTGTCCATAAATCGAATGGTAATAACTTTTCAACTGAATAAATAAACTACAGTGAAAACTCCCTATAGCGAAACTCTGTATTACGAACAAAATTTATTGTACTATTAGAACTCCGTACAAAGCTATGTATTAATCCACTCTGTATAACGAATTTCTCACTCTGTATACTGAAAGAAAAAAGGGCACATCAGGTAACAAAGTAAGGAATGTAGGCCGACTTGTAATTAATAGAGTCTCTTACCTTCTCATAATTCCTTACCCTAATAAAACAATTTTAGCTATAGATGATAAAGTTGCTTTAATTCTGGAGATAGAAAGGGGAGAAAAGAAGAGTGATGTGGGACGTCGATACGCACTTACACCGTCGACTGTATCCACGATTTGGAAGTGCAAAGAAAAAATCATTCAGGCTGAAACGGCAGGCAGTTCTAGTAAAAAACTAAGAAAGCCAAAATTTGAAGATTTTTAGATTTTAAAACTAAAAGCAGAAAAGTTTGCTGAACAGCTTGACATTATCGATTTCAAGGCTTCGGCAGGATGGTTGGGGAAGGTGAAACAGAGACATGGTACAAATTATGGACAGATAAGTGGCGAAGCCCGTGATGTCGACAGAAACGTCACTAACGATTGGCAGGAGAAGACGTTGCTGAAACTAGCAGAAAAGTACCCTGATGATGACATTTTTAAAGCTGACGAGACTCGTATTTTTTACAAAATGACGTCAGATGAAACTCTTAACTTTCGAAGCGAAAAGTGTGTGGGTGGAAAACTTTCTAAAGAACGTATAACAGTGTTAGTCGCTGCCAATATGAGTGGGAGAGAAAAAAGAAAGCTAGTCGTGATCGGAAAATCAACTAACCCACGATGTATTACGAACATCAAGCATTTGCCGGTCACTTACAAGGCAAACAAGTCTGCATGCATGACATAGCAAATTTTTGAAGAGGAGATACGGAAATAGGATGCAGAATTAAAGGGGAGGAAAACATTACTTTTCTTAGATAACTGCCCTGTACATCCCCATATTCCAAATCTACGGAATATTGAATTGGCATTTCTTCCAACAATTCAACATTCCTATCGTCATGCCGGACTTATTACTGAGATAGAATGCGAACAGGACTTGGATAAGGCAGTTTCAAACAATTACGTTTACAAGTGAGGGGCGAGAGCGGAAGCCATATTACAACAAGCAAGAAAGGGTGAGTAAGAGCACCAAGAGGAAGAAGAAGATGAAGAAATTGGTCTGGGACCACCACCAACCATACAGTAATACTCAGTAAAGCTGCTAGAGAATTTTTTTATGTATCATGGCAAAGATAGAAGAAATGGTGAAAATATAAGCGAAAGTACGAGATGCGTATTGGCATACTAAAAAAATTGAAAAGAAAATGACCGATTAATTAAAACATTAAATGTAGTTCTTAAATATTTATATAAAATGTTCCTAAGTAGATGTTAAAATATGTATATTTGTGAAGTTCCTGTAACTCTTTATAACGGAAAAAAAGAAGTCCCCCCAATCATTATATGTTTTTGAAATCAGGAAAAACAGATCTGCGATTGTAGTTTGTTTTTTGTGACACTTGCATAAGATAATAGAGTAAAAATCTTTGTATTTACATTTTTTTATCTTTCAAAATTAACCCTGTAGGCGGTGTCACAATATTATGAATAGCCCGGTACATGTTTTTTATTTCCCCCCATTTTTTAATAATTTTAATAATACCGTTATTATAAAATAGTGCATTGTTAATGGTAACAGTGATACGACCCAAGAAAATCTTGCAGTTTCAAAGATTCCTTCTTGTTGCAGCGCTCAATTGGCCGCAGCGAGCAGGACAGATCAGCGAGCGTCCTGCGTCGGTATAGAAAGTTCCGGTCGACGACAACCACCTCCGTTGCTGAGGTCCAGGACGCTACCAGCCATCGTGGTGCCTGGCGTCAACATACTGCAGGCGCAGTTGGGTAACTACAAGCAAGGTAACGTTGGTTTAAAGCGTCTCCTCGTCGTCTATACCAATGGCGCGCAATCCATGACCACCGGGGGTCGCGAGGAAAATTTTCAGAGTAGCCAAATTTAAAGAACTTTATATGACAATAAAAAATATAGCCCGGATTAAATATACAGTGGTAAGGTGGAAGCCTGAAAACTGTATGTCCTAGATTTTTTGTATAATTATCACAGTCCTTAATTTTGTAGGTTCAAGCTGTGTAGGACCTCAGTTAATTGCTTTTTGGTATAAGCTTCGTGAAGATAAATGTCGTTATTATACATACACACAACCATATTTAGAGCCAGCATGCAAAATAGTAATTCTTTTACCCCTTTTTGATGGCGCGTTTGTTTTACACTTATCAGTTGAGTCAACCCAACCCTTTTCCGAGGTATCGTAAGTGTCGAACCAGGTTTCATGCAAGTAAATAATTGACCTTTGTTGTTCCCTGTAAATCCTATTTTTTCTAGATATTCCAGTCCCCATTTCCGAATTCTAAAAGATTCCATTAAAACTTGCCTTTTGTGATTTTTTTTAAATCTAAAACCCATGTGTTGAATACACTTCCATAAGGTAGTTCTGCCACATTTAACACCGGTTTCATTTTTTTCAAGCCTCCTAATTAAGATATCTAATGTAGGCACGCTTTGTTCCTCGTATAACTGGTAAATTTTACGCCGTATTATATCTTGATGAGAAAATGTCAGCATCGCTTCTTTTTTTCCTCGCTGAAATGGGATTATTCACAATTTTCCATACAGTTGATGTTGAAATTTTCGTCAATGTGGCGGTTTCTTCTAAAGATGCTTGCTTGCTGGCACCACGTTCAATGAGAGTCAAATAAACATTATTTATAACTTCCTTAGTCTCGATAGAATAGTGTTTTCTACATTTGGGCGGGAGCATCTCCTGAGATGCACTAGCCTCGCACATATTTTGCATAATTCGCACACGATCCGACACACGCTGTATTACACACGAAATAAGAATGATTGCTAATAAACTTAAACTAAGTAGTATACCAAACCAAAGAATATTAAACACAGGTAGGTATAAAATTATTTTCTATTACGGACCACAATTTTGCCTGAATTTAAATTCCGAAATTTTTGGTAATAATCTTGTTGCATTGTATGTTAATGACAATCCTTGGATAATCCCATTCAAAAGCAATTGGTCACTTTCTTATATTTATGAAGAGACTATACCCAACTCCCAGAAAATAACAAGAATGACAATGATAATGATGAACCAACACCTACTAAGCTTAGAAAGAGTGTAGACGAAAACCGAAATAAAAATGAATCCAGTGACACTATTGCTACTTCAAAAATTAAATTAAGAAAATATCGAGTTTATTAAATACGGATTTACATTTTGCGTTGTCAATGGGGAAGAACGTCCCTATGTTAATTGCTCGGATAAATTAGCAAATGTAAGTTTGAAACCTGCTAAATTAAAAATACATTTGGACATGACATAAAGAATTTGCAAATAAATCTGAATTTTTTTTTAAAAGACGAGCTGAAAGTATGAAAAATCAAACTGTATTTTTGAAAACATATACAACAATTTCTGAAAATGCTCTACGGGCATCCTTAAATGTTTCATATTTAATAGGAAAAAAATTGATATCGCATACCATTGGAGAATCACAAAGTGACACCAATTATGTATGGAGAAAAATATGGTAACTATTTAAAAACAATACCAATATCAAGAAATACCATTTCAGCCCTATCACGTAATATAGCATCAGTTCTGTTCATTCGAATACAAAACTCTCCTGTGTTTGATCTACAACTTGACGAAGCTACAGACATTACTGAAATGTCTCAATTAATTGTTTATTTGAGATACGTTTTTGAAGAAGACGTATCAGAAGAAATTTTATGTTGTACAAGATTAGAAGGAAGAACAGCTGGAGCGAAAATATTTGAAGTTAATAACAGATATTTTGCTGCAGCATTTACAGGTAATAAGAAAGGACTTAAAGGGTTAATAATAAAATTCCTCCTCATATAGTATTCAATCATTGCATGATACATAGACAAGCTCTAGTTGCAAAAGACATCGATGAAGAATTGTACAAAGTATTACAGCATGTTTTTATTGTAATTAATTACATTAAAGGCAACAGCCTAAACAGTCGTCTCTTTTTAATACTCTGCATGAGATGGGTTCTGAGCATGAGACGTTATTACTACATACCGAAGTCAGACTTTTGTATTTTTGATTTGAGAAACGAACTTTACAATGTTTTGGTGGAAAAGAAACATATATTGGCACATTCATTCATTAATGAAGATTGGCTCGGAAAACCCAATTACATGGTTCACATTTTCGAAAAACTTAACGATTTGAATTTGAGTTTGCAGGGTGAGAGCACAAACATTTCAACATTGAGCAGTAAAATCGAAGCTTTTAAAAATAAGCTGATACTTTGGCAAGAAGAATTAAACAAAAACAACATAGACATGTTTCCGTGCTTTTCAGAATTTACTAATGAAAGTAATATAGATTTCATGTTATTTAAAAACATCGTTTCCCATCATTTGATAAAATTGGGAGAAAACTTTACGAAAAGGTTCGAGAAATTTTCAGATAAAGAATTAGATTATTAATTCCAATATCCCTTTAAATGAAATAGAACAGTTAATTGATATTTCAAGTAACGAAACTCTGCGTATTCAATTTAGGTCTCTGACTTGCCAAAATTTTTTGTTAATTATTACCATTCAAATATCGATCTCAATTAACCAAAATTTTTTGTTAATTATTACCATTCAAATATCGATCTCAATTAGTTCCAGAGGATGACTTACGGATTGCGATTTGCCATAAAGTTCCGGACATGTTTGTACTCATATGCATAAATAAAACCATTTTTTCGCAAAATCATGTGTTGTGTAAAAACCTCTAATAAAAGTAAATTTCAGAAATAGTTTCATTTTAACTACGTTGACGGTTAAAAAAAAACTCTACTGTCTACTCAGGGGTCGCGACAAATTGTTTTAAAAAAATGGTTTTAGCAAAGGAAGATAGGTTGCGCACCACTGGTCTATACGATTGAATCTTTTCAGACGGAAGCGCCTCGTTGAAGCCGAACCTCTCGGCCCGTCTATCTGCCGCCAGAGTCTCTTTCAGCAGGGACGACTCGTATGACGTGCGAAGGAAATCGGCAATCAGCAGACTCTGCGGCAACGGCAGTTATGGGCCGGAACGCGGTGAAGATGGTACCCTGGTCCTCAGGTGAGACGATTCGAGGGGATTTTTCCATTTGACCCTTATCCCTTCGGAAGGAATTTTATTTCCATGTTTATTAAAAAGGAGGGCGTAGGAGCTTTTTGCGTGAGCGGAATGCCGACGGTGAAGAGTGGGGAAAAAAGGGCCGCGGAGAGGGGGGGAGTCGTCGTCGATTATTTTTTATCGATGTAGGTCAGCGGAGACGGGTGCGCGAAACAAAAATAAATATCCAATAAAATAAAGGGGGCCGACGCGATCCCGGTGTAGGGAATTCGTCGGATGCCTTCGGCGGTTTTTTTTATACGGAAATTGGGGGATATCGCAGGGTTTTCCGGCAGCAACTTTTATGGGGTGCATGTGAAATGGGTAGGTATATTTTAAAAGGTTTTATTTTATTTTTTTAAGGAAGCCGTAGTGCAATAGTTTCACTGTCAAGTAAGTCACGATGTATTTCTTTGATATATATGATATAAAAAATATACATAGACATAAGAACGTTTTTGATGGTTACTTAGTGGTTAGCGTTAGTATGGTTCAACGTAGAATAGAAAAAATGGATGCCTTTAGTAAAAACTGTGAGGAAATAAAATATAAATGCATACAGATTAACTGGACTAAAATTACCAACCACTGATTTTTTCGCAACCCTTATTATTTAATTTGAACAAGCCACTGAAATTATAGGCCTTTGTGCTTTTGTATCTTACCTCTTTTTCGAACGGAAAAATAAAAATTGATACGGAATAAACTTAGTTCTAAAAAAAAGATCAAAATGACCAGCAGCATTTTTTAATATACCCTGTATTCTTTATGGTAAAATTTGCAGAACCACTTCGTAAATTACGCATTTTACTACTTTCGTTCCTATTTTGATTTAAGTTCGATATTGTACTAAATTTTTTCAATTTTTCTGTTGTTCTTCTTTTATTGCTTAGTATTCTTTGTTACTGATTAGCAATGAAATAATTCAACAACTAACGTAGCATTGCACCTATTTCTTTAACATCATGATAGGGATTTATCAATTTGAAGAAATTTTTCACATATTAAAAAATATATCTAATTTACTTACTATTATAAGAATATTTTAAACTATACTTTCCCATAATAAAAAACAACTCTGAAATGTTTTAGGAAGCCAGTATCAGAATCATATTTTATTAAAGGGCAGAAATTAGTATTAATTAATTATAATTATAATACAGTCAAAACTCCCTATAGCGAAACTCGGTATTACGAACAAAATTTTTTGTACTATTAGGTCTTCATATAACGCTCTGTATTAATCCACTCTGTATAATGAATTTCTTACTCTCTATACCGAAAGAGAAAAGAGCACATCAGGTAACAAAGTAAGGAATGTAGGCCGACTTGTAATTAATAGATTCTCGTACCTTCTCAGAATTCCTTACCCTAATAATCTAATTACCGAGAACCTGATCGTCCTAAGTGTTTTTCTCGTAAGAAACAGATTATGTTAATTGTATCAATCAGTTCGAATTTGACTTAGTGAATACGGCGAGCATGGCGAGTAATCGAAAAATGTTATCTCTAGATGATAAAATTGCTTTAATTAGTGAGAAAAGAAAAGTGATTTGGGACGTCGATACGGATTTGAAGATTTGGATCGGGCAATGTTGCAGTGGTCCCAACAGCAACATCTTTGACCTATGGTAAAACTAAAAGCAGAAAAGTTTGCTGAACATCTGGGCATTATCGATTGCAAGCCCGTGATGTCGATAGAAATGTCACTAACGATCGGCTAGGGAAGATGTGGCCAAAACTAGCAGAAAAGTACCCTGCTGTCGATATTTTCAATGTTGACGAAACTGGTATTTTTTACAAAATAACGCCAAATAAAACTCTTAAATTTCGAAGCGAAAAGTGTGTGGGTGGAAAACTTTCTACAAAACGTATAACGTATAACATCAAGCATTTGCCGGTCACTTACAAGGCAAACAAGTCTGCTTGGATAACATCGCAAATTTTTGAAGAGCAGATAGGGAAATGGGATGTAGAATTTAAGGGGAGGAAAATATTACTTCTCTTAGATAACTGCCCTGCACATCCCTATATTCCAAATCTACGGAATATTGAATTGGCATTTCTTCCATCCAAAACAACAAGTGCATTACAGCCGATGGACCAGAGCAGAGCGTAATAAAAAGTCTTAAGAGTCGATACAGGAAAAACATTTTAATGGAAATGATCGGGTCCGAAGACAAATTTTTCATTAATATGCTAAATGCAATCAACTTTATTAATAAAGCTCGGAAAGAGGTGACAGCAGAAACAATTCAACACTCCTATCGTCAGCCACTAAGCGAGCAGATAAAGCAGTTTCAAGCAACAATCACTTTTACAAGTAAGGAGTTGCAAGATTTTATGGTGATAGATCAGGATTTGCCTGCTACAGCAGACTTGACAGAGGAAGCCATATTACAACAAGCAAGAATGGGTGAGGAAGAGTACCAAGAGGAATATGAAGATGAAGAAGTCGCTCTGCGACCACCACCAACCATTCAACAAGCCCTATATTGAGTAAAGTTGCTAGAGACATTTCTTATGTATCATGGGGAAGATGCCCCTCTAGAGGAAATGGTGAAAATACAAACCAAAGTACGAGGTGCGAATTGGCATACTAAAAAAATACAAAAGAAAATGACCGGTTATTTGAAACATTAAATGTAGTTCTTAAGTATTTATATAAAATGTTCTTAAGTAGATGTTAAAATGTGTATATAAAATAATTAATATTAAAGAACACATATGCGTATTTTTATTTTTCAAGTTCCTATTACTCTTTAGAACGAAAACTCCTTATAAAGAAAAAAATAGGCAGTCCCTTCAGTTTCGCTATATAGAGTTTCGACTGTATATATGTTATTAATCGGTGTTGCCACAAATCACTACACCCATAAACTGCGACACTCTATCGATCTAATCTGCGATGATACTGCTTCTTCGAAAAAGCATAGAAATTTTAAATGGAACACCCTGTATATTATTCAGTTTTCCGATCCGTCAATACTTTGTGATTGTTTTTGAATAATATATTCCCATATCCATCTTCAGTGGTTTTCGAAAAATTATTTATTTTTTGTATTTTTCAATCAAAACATAGCTTCAATTACATTTTTATTAGTACGACACTGGAGCCAGTAGAAGTAGGAGCCAGTTTAAGATACAATGGTGAACACTTCGAATACCCGAATACCGAATGTAAAAATTTGATTAATTTTTCTGTATGCAATTCTTATATAATATTTGGTTAGTGTAAATAGTTTTTAAAATATTTTTCCAACATTGGTTTAAAGCTTTTCTTAATTCTGGCAAATTGGCTCTTGGTCGTGAGTTGTAAATCAAGATTCGTTTCATTAAATTTGCATGTTCTGGATACAAATTCATTAAAATAGCATTATAATACTGGTTTCATTCCATTTTGAACGGATATTATCGAAAAAATTTGAACCATAATCAATAATGGGTATATCCTTATGGAACTGTCAAACGAACATAACATAACATAAGGTTGATGTTTCATGGCCACCTCAAAAGTAATTCAGTTTTCAAGGAAACTTGCTTTTATTTCAGTCACCAAAGGATTTAGGTATACGTATGATTTAAAACTTACAAAATAATGTACAGTACCTTCCTAAGCTACGTTCAAACTTTTGACTTTCCACTGGCTCCAGTGTCGTAGTAACAAAAATTTAATTTAAGCTATTTTTCGGAATGAAGAAAATTGTTCATTTATAAATTTTTTATTTACTAATTAAATTATAAACTTTTTGATAAAGTGATCATTTAAAATGTCAATGTTGTTGCTATTTTTTCAAAGAAGCGGCAAACTGTAAACACATATATAATCTTATGCTTTTAATTCTTCTAAAGTGACTAGGAAAGTGAATAAAAACTTCAATAGGCAGGACAAAAAGCCAAACTTAAGCTAAATAAATAGTAGTAATTGTCCTTCTTTGAAAAACTGGCGACAGAAGTTCGAAGCTCCTAATAAGTCATTGATTTTTGGGCCATTATTCCAGCTAACACTACCGCAGCTCAAAGCTGAATTGTTTTTGTTAGTAAATTGCCTAAATCCCGAAATCACTAACTGATAATTGAGAGAACTTTTAAACACTCGCTATATTGATAAATTGGTGTGTAAGAAAGCAATTTTTGAAACTAGTCGAACGATTGTAATAACTGTAAGCGACCATTATCCACGATTGTCTTTTCAGGGTACCAGCACCACATGTGGTCGCCGCTAGGGCCTACCGCATGCCTTTCCCGCAGCACCAGCCGCAGCAAGGAGGCAGCACGCCTCTGTTCAAAATTGGAAAACTGCTCACCCAGGGCGGATCGCGTACACAGATGGTCGTAGACGATGCGAACGTCATCAGAAGGTTGAGCTGGGAAAGGTAAGAACCGTCAAGAGCTTAGTTCCAAATAGCACAAAAACGTCCTCCGGGACATACCGTATATCCTAGGGATATACTGTTTCAATTAAGGGACATCCTTAAGATGTCTCAAGGATATGCGATGTTACTAAATGGAACGTCCACAGATACTTAGGATGCAGGATGTTTGTTAAGACATACTAAGGATATCCAGTTATACTAGTTGAGACGTCTTTAGTATATCCGACTGTGACGATATAGGATTTTATATAGATATATCAGTGGATCTCACTTAATTATTAGGTTATTTCCAACAGTCTATGAGAAATACTGAAAACGTAGTAGTCCAATTGGTTGTACAACAACAAAAATTCTATACTAGTATTTGGTACTCGCTTGTGATTGAATTAACCTATATTTAATCTTTAATTTTGCTTTTGATGGAAAAAGTGAAGGACTGCCGATTGATACCATTAATAAAACACATTTTGTACACATTTTTTTCTATTGCAGATATGAACAAATTGTAGGTATATAATATAGCAAAAATATAGAACAACTTAACCTAAACTATCTTAAATATAGAGTAATATAACGGGTGATTCAATAAGAGTTTCCACATTACAATCTGAAATATTTTTGAAACGCCACTGTATTTGTTTAATATCATATGAGATTTCGAACGTCAAAACATAAACAAAGTTAGTCATGTAGCAATATACGACTGAACAACGTGTAAAAATTGTGCAAGCCTCCTATGAAAATGGTCGATCAAGAAAAAATTCATTTCGACCTTCTGAGAGGACAATTTGGAATGTGGTTCAAAAATTTGAGCAAACTGGATCTGTAACTAACCTCAAAGTCCCTCAACGTGCTCGTGCAGCTCGGTCAGATCAAAATATTGCCATTGTTCGCGAAGGTGTAGCCGAAGATCTAAAAGACTTGCATGTACACCCCTATAAAGTCCAAATAACTCAGGAGTTGAAACATCGAGATCATTTGCAGAATGGATACGAGAACAAGGGGTTCATTTTTCAAAGAAAATCATCTTTGGCGATGAGGCACATTTTCACGTTGGTGGCTTTGTAAACAAACACAATGGGATTATATTTGGGGATTAGAAAATCCAAGAGAGATTGTTCAAAAAGCAATGCATCCTCAAAAAGTGACTGTTTGGTTCGGAGGAATAATTGGCCCTTTTTTTCGAGGATAATGCGGAGAACGCTGTTACGGTTAATGGTGTTTGCTATCGAAACATGATCTCTGTTTTTTTCTGGGAGCAGTTGGAATGTATGGACATTGAAGATTTGTGATTCCAACAGGATGGAACCACTTGTCACACATCCAGAGAAACGATGCAATTGTTGCGGGGCAAGTTTCCTGGTCGGATTATCCCACGTAACGGCGATATCAATTAGCCGCCGCGATCATGTGATCTTACTCCCCTAGATTTTTTTTTAGGGGTCTCTCAAAAGCAGAGTGTATAGAAATAAACCAAACACTATTCCAGAGCTGAAACAGGAGATTAGACGCGAAATAGCCGTGATAGGCTAGCCGGATAGGAATAGTGATAGGGGGTCATTTGAATGACATCATCTTTCATACCTAATTGTAATACGCTAATCTAAAATCGCAAATAAAAATGTTTGTATATTTTTATATTCTTCCTAGTTTTTTTTTTAATTTTAATGTGGAAACCCTTATTGAATCACCCTTTATAATATCTTGCACTAGTACTCTCATGAAAATGGTCTTAGATTTCCAGAATTTATGTGTTTCATTTCATTAAATACAAACTCTCATCGGTAGGATCTCTTTTATGATGGTAGGTACTATCGCGCGCAAAAAAAATTAGAACAAATGCGACTTTTTAGTTTGACAATAAAAGTCTATTTTCATGCAATATTTTTTGTCAAACCATGTAAATAAGCTAATAGGTATATAGGTTACAAAAAGGCAGTTTTATCTTAACTTGGTCCAGCAATCACTCCTTAAAAATAGTATCAACTAAGCAATCGCCATAATATATATTTTATTAAATTATATTTTTATATATAGGGTTTTTCAATTAAAACTCCGCACGCCAATAAGTCCAAAACGAAAAGAAATATTTAATTTATGTAAAAAGTAGTCAAAGTGTGGGGTCAGGTAGATATTTCCTAAAGTTTAAAAAATTCGACGCCTGCAGAGAGCTGGGCGTCGCGACGCGTCGAAAAATTATTCGATTGCAGAGACTTTGGAAATACGCGCATACAAAAGTACATATTATTTAAAAACTTTTTTGTTATTTACTCAAATTTATTTACTTTACCCGTTTCTAAGTTATATCGATTTAAAGTAAACATTTCTTGATTAATAAAAAATGTGATTAACGCTTATTTTTACAAGTATGCCATGAATGTTAGTTACTATGGCAACCATTGTGATCGCAGTTGTTTTAAGTGCAATTACAAACGTAAGTTGTTATTGCTGTATCAAAAAATTGTCACATTTTGTCAAAAGAAATATCCAAATTTGTTCGGTTTAAAAAAAAATAAGAATTATTATGTGAAAATGGTGCAATTTAGCAATGAGGAAAAAGTAGACATGTTACTGGTGTTTGGAGAATGCAGATGCAATTGTAGAGAAGCAAAAAGAGTTTACGCACGGCGTTATCCGCATAGAAGAGTCCCCGATGCAAAAACCTTTTCAAGTTTATGTAAAAACTTAAGAGAATATGGCAGCTTCATAAAACCTAAAAGAGATAGGAACAGGACGGCTACAAATGATGAAAATACTGCTGCTGTAATTCAGCAGGTTGATAATAACCCCAAGATATCCCTATCAGAGATAAAAGAAAATACCGGTGTTACCATAAGTTCTTCGTGGAGAATTCTACATAGAAACTCTTTTCACCCGTACAAAAGTAAACTAGTTCATAAACTAGAACCAGGCGATTATGCTAGAAGAATGTATTTCTTAGCGACATTGTCCGATTTGTATAGTCAAGATGCAAATTTTCTCTCGAAAATTTTATGGAGCGACGAAAGTCGATTTCAAAATAATGGAATCGTTAATAGACACAACTGTCGTTTTTGGTCCGAAAACCATCCTCGTTGGATTACAGAAAGAGGTAACCAACGAATTTTTAGTATCAATGTTTGGTGCGGCATATTAAATGGATTCCTTATTGGACCTTACTTTTACGAAGGAACTTTAAATGCAGATCGCTATTTAAGATTTCTTCAAACTACACTTCCGGAACTATTAGAAGAAGTGCCTCTTGACACTAGAATGAATATGTGGCTACAGCAGGATGGAGCGCCTGCACATAATGCCCAAATAGTAACGAGGTATTTGAACCGAGAATATCCCAATAGATGGTTTGGTACTAATGGAACGGTAAGGTGGCCGGCGAGTTCCCCGGACATTACACCACCAGATTATTTTCTTTGGGGCTACGTAAAAAACGTTATCTATGAAGAACCTATCGAAGATATGGCTGATCTCATTAACAAAATTAGTGCAGCGTGTGCCGCTATCTCCTACAAGTGACCCAAGCTCATCTGTTAAAAGTTTTTGGTAGTTGTGTTCGAGCAGATGGACATAATTTTGAACAAAATTTTTGAAATGTCTTATTATGTAGTTAATTGCAATAATAATTTTGGTTATTAACTTGTAGGTATTTTACTGTTTTTTTATTTATTTATCATGTTTTCAGAACTAAATCGATAAAAAATAATAAATAAAATCATACTAAAATAGTTGAAATCTATTGTTTGTAATTGCACTTAAAACAACTGCGATAACAATGGTTGCCATAGTATCTAACATTCATGGCATACTTGTAAAAATAAGCGTTAATCACATTTTTTATTAATCAAGAAATGTTTACTTTAAATCGGTATAACTTAGAAACGGGTAAAGTAAATAAGTTTGAGTAAATAACAAAAAAGTTTTTAAATAATATGTACTTTTGTATGCGCGTATTTCCAAAGTCTTTGCAATCGAATAATTTTTCGACGCGTCGCGTCGCCAAGCTCTTTGCAGGCGTCGAATTTTTTAAACTTTAGGAAATATCTACTTGACCCCACACTTTGACTACTTTTTACATAAATTAAATATTTCTTTTCGTTTTGGAGTAATTGGCGTGCGGAGTTTTAAGTGAAAAACCCTGTATACTTTATTTATATTACATTTAAGTCCTAATTCTTTTTAAAAAACATAATATCTGCTTACTAAATATTAATATGGCCAATTTTAATATTGAAAATTTCTCCTTTTTCTTCATGCCCGACCAATTAAATTTCATTGCAAGTTCATTTGAAATCAGCAGGGTCACAGCTTGTTTTACAACCTCACAACTGCTACGGCCGCCTGAACTTGCTATTTCATTGACCTAGCAAAATAATAAAAAAACAAGGCATGATGTTCATAGACTATATAACAATGCTCCGTTCAGCTAAGTAAAATTTATCAAATCTTATGATATATATTACCGTACATGAATTATTAGTTCTTCAGTAATTAATAATGTCGCAAAAAATGAAATGAGAGCACTGAAAGCAGGAAGCACAGCACGCAAAATACTAAAAATAGACGCCAAGTCGCCATATACCGTATACCGCCAACAAGAACAAGGCTAAAAAGATGGCGGACGACGAGGCGGAGGAGAAGCCGACGAGACCCGAGCGAGTCCGACACAGCACCACCGCGAGTAGTTGCGTCATTGATTGCAGCCGAACAGTGTTGTCAAATGGGATCTTACAAACAAATATATTATTTTTTACTTAGACGAATCCGTATTTTCAGCGGTATTTTTATTGAAAAAGCGTTTCTTGTCTCGTTCGCGTCCAAAAATAATAAAAACAAGTTGATTTTAACGGTTTGATTCCGGTTTTTTTAGGACTTGATAACATTGACGTCGATACAGATATTCACAAATCTAAAAAAAACAAGTATTTTTCTTCTCAGTTGAAAATTTAACTTTTTAGGTTTCATTTTGTTTTACGGTTTTTCTCATTATGGCGCAAGGGGATATCCTCAGGCCATCTATTTAGAGGTTATCTGTGGTATGTCGTGTACAGTAAATCCTCATGCTATCCATTCAGAGGATATCCCTGGGATGTAATATCCTCCACATGTCCCGGGACATGCGACTGGCCGGACATACTGCGGTTATGGTGTGCTCTCTGG